ACAGCACCTTACATTTAATGTGTGGTGTTTTAAAGTAAAAAAGTAAAGTTTCCCTTTCAAACCTGACGGTCTATGGGGCAAGTGAAGTAGAGTTCACTTGTTTCTGTGACCTCGGCATATGAAGAGATAGTGTGGTCAGCACTATGCCCAGCCGCCTTTACTCTCCCTAACGTGAGTTAGGTACCCATCAGAGTTGGGTAGACTCAGGGACGGTCTACTGGCTTGAACCCGTATTCGAACTCGAGACTTACGGGTTAGCAGTCCAGCTCTCTACTTGTGGTGTTTTAACTTTGTAAAATGTGGGTATATTTTTCAAAGAACTTTTATGGATGCACGTCCCGGCACCATAAGCCAAAACAGATTGTTTTTTCTTAACCTTGTTAAGAATTGATGAGAGAGAAAAAATATTATATACCTATATAACTTTTCTAGATGTAAAGACACAATAGGCCTACTCGAGATGAAACAGGTTGTTTTCTAGACTTGCTGTTCAAAGGGAAGTAACTACATTTATTACTCCAGCCAAAGACACAGTAGCTTAACCTTGTTTACAAAGCTTGATTGTGTCCGTCGAGTTAGTTTAGCAAACAAATGAACATACAATTGTTGTAGAGCTGTATTTGATCTTACTGTAGTGGAAGATTTGAATATTTTCTACTTAAAAAAAAACACCAACGGAACAGTGTTATTTTTTAAGAACTGTCACTATTACAACTCAAATTTCGTCTTTAGTACATTCATTTCGTCAGGTAGCATTTGCGCCTATAACATTTACCATACCGGCAGAATTTTTTTTTTATTTCTAATTTTCCAATCATCATTGTCTATCGGTGGGAAATGCTCTTTATTTCGTTTTTTTTTCTTCTTACAAATCCTGAATATTCAGAGAAACATTCCACTCTAGCTTCCGATCTGGTCGCTTTTGATGATCCAACATAAAAACATCGCTTTGCTCAACACAAATTCAAGGTCAAAGAGGCCCAATACATAACCAACTGGACATGTCAAAATAAGGAGATGAGGCGGGGGGGGGGGGGGGGGGGGGGGCTTAGATCGTTTTGCACGTAAATTGCTCATTGGACCCTGGGGTTACGTGGTCCGACCCCCTCCTGGATTCATGCATCATCTACCGATTGCAGGCGAACTCTGACCCCCCCCCCCCCCCCCCCACCCCCCCCGGAGCGGGAGACCTCGGCGCCAGATGTCATCAAATAGCAAATGTGTCCGGTTGGTTGGTTGGTCGCTTCACGGGATCCTGGTCTGTTGATGATGATGGTAGGCTTGGGCGTGAGTGGGATATACGTTCTAGTTTGTGTATAAAGCTATATGTTGTTTGTTTGTTTGTTTATTTTGATGATGGTAGGCTTAGGGCGTGAGGAAATGTACGTTCTAGTCTGTGTATAAAGCTATCTGTTGCTTGTTAGCTTGTTTGTTTGCTTGTGTATTTGTGTTTGTTAACTTGCTTGTTAACAAGTCTCAAGTTCGAATCCAAGTTCAAGTGCGTAAAAAACGCCCCTTAGTCTACCCAACTCTGAAGAGTACCTAACTCAAGATATGAAAAGTAAAGGCGGCTGGGCATAGTGCTGACCACACTATCCCTTCATATGCCGAGGTCACAGAAACAGGTGAACCCCACTCCGCTTGCACCCAGTGTTTTTCCAGACATTTTTCTCCGGGGGGAGGGGGGGGGGGGCGGGAGAGGGGGCGGACACAGTTAAAAGCATATATTTTCTATATAACTTCCATTTCGTTCGGGGGGGGGGGGGGGTAGAGATGCCTGAAAGAAACATTGCTTGCACCATGGACCGTCAGGTTCGAAAAGGGGACTTAACTCCACTACCCCATCAGAGGCTCACATCAACCGGCAGCAAATTTACCGACTCAGGACACATTCAAAACTAACCGGACCCAAATGCCAATCAGTCTTGATTTGGTCTGACTCGCCTAGTTTTAAACACACATTACGTGTTTCTGGAACTTGTAGGGCGAGAGTCAATGCAGGAGGGGGGGGGGGGGGGGTCATCGGGTGCTAGAGGGTACTTTTTATCTGTACTAACGGAGGGAGGGGGTGGGGTGAGTGTAAAGGGTGCTTTACATATATACTAAAGGAGGGGTGGGTAACTGTATAGGGTACTTTTCATTAAGACTAATGAAGGGGGTGTGGGGTGAGTGTAAAGGGTACTTTACATATGATATACTTAAAGAGGGGTGTGGAGTGAGTTTAAAGAGGAGTACTGTTTATGTAGACTAAATGAGAGGGTGTGTGGTGTGTACAGAGTACTTTTTATCTAGACTAGATGAAGAGGTGGGTGGTGTGTGTACAGAGTACTTTTTATCTATACTAGATGAAGAGGTGGGTGGTGTGTACAGAGTACTTTTTATCTAGACTAGATGAAGAGGTGGGTGGTGTGTACAGAGTACTTTTCATCCATACTAAAGAAGAGGGGAGGGGGGTGAATAGTGTAAAGAGTACTTTTCATCAGTACTATAGGAGGGGGTATGGGGAGTGTACATGGTATTTTTCATCTCTACTAAAGGAGAGGGGTGTGGGTGGAGTGTAAAGGGTACATTTTATCGAAACTGGAGGAAGAGGCGTGGGATGAGTGTAGAGATTACTCTTCATCTAAACTAAATGTTCTGTGTGTGTGGGGGGGGGGGGTGTAATGCTGGGCGCCAAGGGTACTCTTCATCTATCTATTGGGCAGGAGGTGGGTGCAAAACGTACCCCCCACCCCATCGTCTGTATTTGACTAAATTCGAGTGACCAAAAAAAAAAATTAAAAAACTAGTGTACCGGTGGTCCGCGAGACGATGGTGAAATGTATCAACAAACCACATAGTGTGGAGAGCTGGTGGGCAAACACCCGCCTCGCCAGACATCAAATGAGTCATGTTGAGTTCGGTGCCAGGACGAATTGATCGTTTCCCTCTATTCATTTCAGGAGTCGATCGCCTTAACCGAAATTCGGAATGGGAGGGGTGGGGGGGGGGGGGGGGGGGTAGACGAGTAGTGGTGTGAGTGGGGTTTGGGGAGAGGAGGGGGTCAGTCTTCACTTTACTAATCCAAAAAATTACTTGCTCAGTCTCTGATTTCACCGTGTCTCTCTCTCTCTCTCTTCCTCTCTCATATATATATATATATATATATATATATATATATATATATATATATATATATATATATATATATATATATATATATATATATATATATATATGTGTGTGTGTGTGTGTGTGTGCGCGCGGGTGTGTGTTTTTGTAAATAGTAATATAACGTTTCTATTTGCGATCTGATCTCATAATATAACATTTAAGGAAACCCCACCCCCCCCCCCACACACACACACACACAAACACACCCATCCACCCCACCACAGATCACAACAGGATCCCTACAAAGAAGGTCCAAGGTATGTATTTTTTTAAACAATTGATGAGAAACACATTTTTGGAATCATTAATGAAAGAATTGTTTCTGCCGTCATGAAAAAGTTGCAAAATGTTTGAGTGGAGGTGTGTGTCACTGTCAACCAGGTTTCAAACTAGTTGTGTCAGCTATTTGTTTCAACTAGTTGTGTCAACCATTTGTGTCAGCCTTTTGTGTCAACCATTTGTCAGCCGTCTGTCAGACATTTGTGTTAGACATTTGTGTCAGACATTTGTGTCAGACATTTGTGTTAGACATTTGTGTCAGACATTTGTCAGCCGTCTGTCAGACATTTGTGTTAGACATTTGTGTTAGACATTTGTGTCAGACATTTGTCAGCCGTCTGTTAGACATTTGTGTTAGACATTTGTGTTAGACCTTTATGTTAGACATTTGTGTCAGACATTTGTGTCAATCATTTGTTTCAACCATTTGTGTCAATCATTTGTATCGACCCGTTATGTCAACCCGTTGTGTCGGTCATTTGTGTCGGCCATTTGTGTCAACCAGTTTTGTCAGCCATTTGTGTCAACCAGTTGTGTCAACCTATACATCCAATTTTTCTACGAGAAGATGTGAACCTTTGTTAAAGTAATAAGATATTATTACATCAAAGGCAATGTTATATCACAAATGGCTCTATACAATTCCTATCCCTTGCAACATATAACAATAATAACACTCTCTTTCTCTTCGTTTTATATATGAGCACAATCCCATATTATTTTTTAACTCCGCGAATGCACGCATGTTCAAGTATGAAAGCTAGAGGAGGAGGGGTGTGAGCCGTGTTTGATTCGGGCATCTCTCCAATGCTTCTAATTGGCAGCCCTAAAAGGATATCACTTTATAAGCCTACACTGTATATATTATCAGTGACTTTTTAAAGCTAAAGCTGAGGACTGCGGAGCGGTCCGCGGGGAGGGTGGGGTGGCATAAATAAGGGATGACACCATGACGTAAGATAGTAAAATTTACTGTCGAATCAATGTTTTATCGAGTTAAGATTTTAAATATATATAATTATATATATATATATATATATATATATATATATATATATATATATATATATATATATATATATATATATATATATATATATATATGCTACATTGTTTGAAGGGGGTAGGGTACACCCTCACTTAGCTTACCAGATAACACCCGACCTAGTGACGCCACTGTATATTATATAGTACATGTAACTATAGAAGACTCCTAGGCGATTAAGGCGAATCTAATGAGAAAGAAATATGAATATAAATATGCTGTTCTATTTTTTTTTTTATTAAGAATAGTCTTTTCAGTATAGAAATAGTTTAGATCTACTAGTGGGTTTTGCATATTTTTAATCTGGGTTTCAACTCAAGATCATGTAGATTACATGTAGCATAGACAAGTTAGCCATGAAAATCTAAATATTAAAAATATAAGCTAGATTTCTCTAGATCTAGATCTACATTTTAGATACATTTTCTAGCGTAGGTGGCCTACAGGTGTAGGCTACACCTTTTGTTTTGCTGAAACTTGTCAACATGAATCTCGGCACGCATGCGCAAACCTATTGTAAATAAACATTCGAGCTTTTGGGAAGCTTTGTACTGTTGCTAAGCCACGAGAGAATCATGAATGATTAGCTTTGATTAATTAAAAAGTACTAGTAATTTCATAGTAACAATCGTTTAACGCCTTTAGAGTGTAGAGGTGTCGCATGTTAAATTCCCAGTAGATTAGTAATTAATTAGTAATAATTAGTAACTGCTATTGAGTTACTTAACTAGTAATAACTAGATCTAGAATTCCAGATCTAGAAGTCTAGATTCTACCTGCTACCTACTCTACGACCTACGCGCCCTACGGCTACCACACACTACAGTTACACAGTAGTACACAGTGACTACACACTTCTTCTGACTTTTTCAGTTCTTGACTTGATGAGAAAACTAAATGTTTTAAAATACCTTTTTACATGCCCCCAAACTCAGTTTCTAATCTAGATCTAGATTCTAGATATGATCTAGATCTAGATATCTACTAGAATCTAGATCTAGAAGATTTAGTTTAGGTTTTGAACTGTACTTTACTTTTAAACGATTTTTCAGTTTAGCTTACAAAAAAAATGGTCGAGTTAGTTCTCTAGTTTACTTCTTAAGTGTCTTAATTTAATACTAGATTCTAGTTAATACTTAGACTACTTAATGAATGTTAATACTTAGGCCCCTAATAAATAATAATAGTAAAGTGAAAGATCTAGAATACTAGATCTACTACTGGTGACTACTACTACTGTACTAGACTCTAGATCTAGATTTTCTAGATATCTAGGTCTAGATTTTAGTACTTACTAAGTTACTACACTTGACTTACAGGAGTAGTGATAGATCTAGAATTTTTTAATCTAGATCTACTAGTGATTTAGATTAGTTAGATCAAGCTATGTAGGGGTCGGCGTGGTCGAGTCGGTAAAGCTCATGGTTGCTAAACCGAAAAGCCACGAGTTCGAACCCTCGGGCAGATGAGGCTCGTTAGCTGGGGACAGCCACTCTTCTAGGAGAGACAACTCCAAAATTAAACAACTGCTGCCTTGTAGTTTGTTCTTGGTTGGACAAAAGCTATGGAAGCAAATCCAAAAAGAAAAGCAGGCTGAAATCGGAGTCAATGGCCTCATGGCGCATAACCAGTTGACACGTAACGCTTAATTGTGTTGGAGGCGTGGTCGAGTCGGCAAAAAGCTCATGGTTGATAAATTCGAACAAAGTCTCGAGTTCAAACCCACTGGCAGATAAATCTCGATCCCCTTCAACACTAATAATTAAGAACGAAGAAGAAGAAGCTATGTATTTCTAGGCCTTACTAAATACTAGTAAATAGTTACTTTAGTAGATATTAAATAAAGTTAAAGATATGATTTTCTAATAGGATGATATATAAATATTCATTGATTTCAGGATTATAGAAGCTCTATTCACTGTTATTAAATTTTTTAACTAAACAACTTGTGACACCTTCTTATGAACAGGTGAATGAATATTAAATAAGATTATAAATTAGTCTATTGTAAATGTATTTGTTTTGTATTTTAATCACAATGTATGATGAATTTTCACCCCTATATTAAATAGTTTACTCAATACATATCAGGCCTACAGCCTTGATAATTTTTAATATTTGTTTAATTTTGTATCAATGTATCGCATAAATATTCATTTGCAATGGCATTTGCTCGTACAAATATTTTATGATAGGAAACTTAAACTTTGAATAGCATAACTTAGATCTAACACCAGCTATTATATTACCATAATGTATAGCACTTTATAAGTTGCCATTCTGTAAAATTGTAAGATCCATCTGAGAAGGCAGGTAGGGCAAGACAGAACACTTTTAAATATCACAAACCTGGTCCTATTCTTATCAGCAATGCACAACAAAAACACCTCGATGCATTTATTTATTGCCCTGCCAGCATTCTTAGAAGAACCAATTTTAATGTATTAATTAACCATTAATTAACCATAAAATAAAATTTGTTTTTCATCTTTAGGTAATGACTTAGGATCACATTGAATCATTTTATCGGAAAACTAAAAAAACGCACTATGAACCCTACAAAGTTAAATAAAAACATTTTGATACCTGTTCTGTGTATCACATTAGCTCTGGTTTACTTCATATTTGGCCACGGTAAGAGAGCATCTTAATTATATGTCCACTTCTCTTCTTTATTTTTCACTTAAACTTAACTGTCAGCAGTAATAGGGCTGGTAAGTCTCTTTGCTTCTCTTACTTAAAATTTGAAATCTCGTTAGCCAGCTCAGGTGAATTCTCAAAGTATCATTATCAGTTTTTACGATTTTAAATAACTTAACAATAGCGGAATTAACCTTTATTTCTTTTTTTACCGATTTAATAAACATATTCACAATTGGTTTGAAAAATACTAGCTGATGAGAAGCTGGTGACCTACTTACAAGCCCTATTGGTACTTCTAAAATTGTTGGCAGAGCTTTGTATATATTGTGTGGTGATAGTATCACTACCCCTATCACTGTTCCTAACTCTCTCAATATTTGAAGAAAAAATATTTTTGGGTTACTGTATCGCCCTGCCTGCAGTCATATAAGTACCAAGCAATATCAGTATTTTTGCTTATCTGTAGAATAAGCAATGCTTGAGACCATAATAAGACCCAAATGCAGTAGTTCTTAACCTGTGTTTGATCAAACCCCAGGGGTTTGGTGAGTCAGTCTCAGGGGTTTGCTGGAGGTCAAGACACACACCCAACTCATATAATTCACGATCAGATTTTGTCAGTGCAGGCAATAGAACTATTAAGAAGGGTTCGGTGAATGCACATATGAAACTGGTGGAGTTCGATACCTCCAAAAAAGGTTAAGAACCACTGCCCTTATGTATGTTAAGTTCTGGGATTCTCATTGGGTGCGTGGGGGGTAATGTAATATGATGTCATTTTAGCGGATTTTAAATGATGTGTGATGATGTGGGCGGGGTAATAAAATGAGAAAAAAAACTCCTTTGTGGTCGAACTCTTTTCAAAGTCTTATATGACTAATCTTTTTTAACTGCCACTAGTTGCAAATTTTTATTTTTCTTTCATTTAAGTTTCACAAGGTAAAGTTGCTACTTTGTTAATGTTTGTGAATATTTAAATTACTGCTACAATACTATTATTAGTAATACTATTAAAGATATTCACTTAACATATCTAAAAAGTTGATTGAAAATATTATTTATCAGGTAAAAAACACTACAAAGATTTTTGACTCCGTAGAGAAGGGAGGGGGGGGGGGGGGTTCTGTTAGATACAGGATGTGCATCATATTTTAAAATAATATTAATACAACCTGATATTTTTTAAAGCTGATATAAATATGATATATATTATAGATTTGATAAAATGTTTTTTATAGGTAAAAGTACTCAGAATAGCGCTACAAGTACTAGAATTGCAGGTAAGATTTTTCTATCTGATTTCCATCTAATAGTTATTTTGTTATCAATAAGAGGATAGTGTGGTTGGGACTGAGAGTGCATGACTGCTAACTCCAAAAGTCCCAAGATTGGAATAAGAACAGAAGAGTCTCCTTAGCTGGAGATAGCAACCCATCAAGGAGAGACAACTCCAAAATCAAACATCTGCTGCCTTGTTCATTGGGTGGACAAAGGCTATGAAAGCATATCCATAAAGAGAAGCAGGCTGAAATAGGAGTCAACAGGTCATATGGGGCATAACGTGTTTGCACATAGTACTTAATTATATTGGAGGAAATCACTTTCAATGCAGTGTAAATTATGTACAAAGAAAAAGAAGTTATTAATTAAAATATTTTTGTTCAATTAATTGCTACTTAATTGCGATTTAAACTTTTAACATTATTGATACATTAAGTTATGCTGTCCATGAAATGTTCAATATAGATCTTGGATTTCAGATCCTTGGATAAAAATTTCAAAACAAAAGGTAGTGAAGAAGATGTCTGACAAAATAAGCCCAGATGGACACTACCTGCCTTTCTACGGATACACAATTGTTTCCATGTTAACTGACCGGTATGAACTGAACCAAATTTATGACAGCATAAAAAACACAAAGTTTCTCAGCAAGTTTTTGACACCTCTCCCAATATCCTCCTACCACGTCACCATATATGACATTTTTACTCAGAGAAAAATACCGTTGAAATACACCTCTGATTTGGCGTCGTCTATGAAGCTTTCTCAGAACTCAGGTGCCCTCAAGACTGATCTGCTAGCTGCACAGTACATATGTGATAAGATCCAGGGGGGGATCACTTTCAAACCAAAAAATATTGTTTTTGGTGATGGGCCAGGCAGGCCGTTTATTGTTGAAGGGGAGATAAGCAACCTGAAGGAGCTCAACAGTGCCAGGGACATGTTTACCTCCCTTTTCGACAAGGATGACTCGGCCAGGATTTATCATATGACACTGGGATACGTCCACAGTGTTGTGACGGACCATGATAAGGCTGTCATCATGAAGGAGCTACAGGAGCTGTGGCAGCTACTGCAGAGAGAGTACAGCCTTGATCGGCCTAATGTCTGCTACTTTGAATCCATGCGGGAGTTCCAACCAATCAAAATGCTTTTAAATAACACTTCACCGGCTGGGCTGTAAATAAAAATAAAAAAAAATTTTCAAAGTATTGCATTTGCTTCGCAATTAACCTGCCTTGATCTAAAATGTTATAAATGTGCTTAATAATTAACCTGCATAGATAAAAGCTATGGGTAATATACAAATGTTTACATTGTTTATCTTTTTTTACAAGTTTATTTTTCTGAGAGAAAAACAGCATATTAATCTATAAAACAAATATATAAAACATATATGTACAAAGTATAAAAGTAACCTGATATTATTTTTGTATCATTGTGAAATGTTTAATCATTATGAAAACTAATTGATAACTTCATTTTTTCTACTAATATATAGGTTGTTTTTAATACAGAACTGTCAGTTTTTTCTATTGGTGTTTGATTACTCTAGTAGGTCTGTGATTTTTTTTTTTTGTTAATTATTTTTCTTGCTTTGCAATTTTTGTGTCATAATTCTCAAGCAATACCTACAATTGCATTCCATATAATTGATAATATATTGGGTTTTTTTAAATAGAATTGTCAGTTTTTCTTTTGTTTGTTTACTAAAGTAGGTCTGTTTATTTTTTTTATTTTTTGTGAATTATTTTTCTTGCTTTGCATTTTTTGTGTCATAATTATCAAGCAACACCTACAATTGCATTCCATATGATTGATTTTGTAACACAATAGCAATGTATAGGCCTCCTTCTCTTCTTTGGTTTAAATTCCATAAAAATCTTGTACCATGTTATTACAACTATGTTGATTTTTTTTTAAAATAATAATAAAATATCTGACTACTGTGATCAAGCATGATTTCTAAAAAAAGTTTTTTAAAAATTCCCTTTTCAAACCTTCCGGTTCATGGGGCAAGTAGAGTTTGCCAGTTTCTGTGACCTTGCCATATGAAAGGATAGTGTGGTCAGCACTATGCCTAGGATTGCTAAAAAGTTTGTTTTCATTATAATATCAATGCATTTATAATGTTGACTGAACAAAATAATTCTTTAAAAAAAATGTTTTTGAACTTATGTAACTTATGCGGGAGAAAAGTACGACTGAAATATACTTAAATTCAGTTCAATAAATACTCATTAAAAAATGTATGTTTTAGTATTGCTGATTATGAAATTTATAATAAATATTTAAACCAAAAGAAAAAAGTATTCTATTTCAGCACTCAATTCAAAGCCTTGCTAATGTAGACATAGACTAGACCAAAAACCTGAATAATATTGACACTAACATAGTCTAGACAAGAATATTCAGCTATATGAACCCACAGCTCCAGGTATACATTATAAACCTGTTTCATCTGTCATATACCATAAGGGGCTCTCTTCTATGTAATGCCTTCATTCATCTACATGGATAGGTTTATCACTTTTGTCAAAATCTTATGCAAGGGGAATTATGGGGTTAAAGAAATGTTTAGTGCCATTGTTTTCCTTAGAAATGAATAGAGTGAAAACAAATAGATATCTATGTCAGATTGAGAATAATTTTGTCTTTCTGTTATTCACGTTGTTGAGAAAAAAACCGCCCCCTCCACACACACACACACACACCTATTCAGGGAAATTAGCCTGTAAAACCAAGTCTTAGTAGCAGTAAATTTTCTTAAAATTGACCGTATAGAACAGAATGAGCTTTAATTTTTTTACCCCTTTTGGTAGGCGCCCGGGGTAGCCGCTCCACCCTCCCTCACCCTAGCTACGCTTCTGTTGTCGACTTGTGTAAGTCCGACTTTTTGTGACGAAAGGGAGGGTAAAAATCTCTCAATCACGTGACTTCCTCTACGGACGTCTACATGTAGGCCTACCTACTACACTGCAGCCTACCAGTGTGGGTTCTATTCATTAGCCAAGCCCTATACCTGAGTGATGAACATACACACCTACGGTCACAGGCTAAACGGAGGTCGCGATATTTTAGTCTTTCGTTGCTAAAAATAGCGTATAATTTATTCTAAAATGAGAACGGGGAGATCCTTATTTTATGTAGTCCTAATTTTCCTACTTTATGTTCTCCATATAATTTATTTTCAATTAGTAAGACCTATTTAATAAATCTAAAATAAGAACGTTTTAGAAAATCAAGGTTATTGTTAGATCTATGTATTTTTGTAATTTTGTGACGGTGTGTGATGAGGGGAGGGGGGGGGTTCCGTTAGTGTGACGTCACACTTTTGCATTATAAAAAAAACTGTTAGGAAACGAATTTTACCTGTTATTTCGCGTTTTAGAAATCTGTTTTAATAAATTGTAATAGAAATGCTTTTAACCTGGGTTCGAACGAACCTCAGGGGTTCGGTAAGTCAGCCTCCGAGGTTCGGCGAAGGTCAAGACCCGAGTTTCTTCCAGGCATCTCTTCGGGGGGCGAAGCCCCCCCCCCCCCCCCCCCCCCCCCGAAATTTTTTTACCGACCCCCCCCCCCCCCCGAACGAAATGAAATTTATATAATTTATATAGAAAATATATACTTTTAACAGTGTCCGCCCCCCCCCCCCCCCAAAGAAAGTTTACCGCCCCCCCCCCCGAAAATTTCAAGTGCCCCCCCCCCCCCCCCGGGAGAAAAAAGTCTGGAAGAAACACTGGTCAAGACACACTCGACTCATGATTCACGATCGGATTTTGTCAGTGCGGACGAGAGATCTATAAGAAGGGTTCGGTAACTCCAAAAGGATAAGAACCACTGATCTAGACAAACTTAGGCCTACATGCTGTTGTTAAGGCGTCAGGAATTCTGTGTGTAACTGACCCTCTGTTCTTTACCTTTCACGTATTTCCTGCTCGCGGTACAATTTATTACAGGTGAAAAAGGTGAAATTAAATATTCGTAAACTGACGCTATGTGGCGGGTGTGTGCCTTGCTTGAGTTTCATCAGTGGTGTAGGGGGTGGTGGCTGGGGGGGGGGGGATATTCACCCCCTTCATATGAACCCTCAAAATAAAATGACACATTCCTCCCTCCACCCCCCCCCCCCTTCTTTTTCCCCCGTAGTATTTCTGTTAGAGGGTCGGTGCTTTTTGTCTTTTCAATAGAAAAATATAGAAAAGCTTGGGTTTTACGTTAGGCCTACTGGCTACTGTTTAGATCTAGATAATCTAGAACCTGTAAGTTCGACCATTTTTTTGGTTTTTTTTAAGAACACTAAATTGAAATTATTGGCAAAATTTTAGACTCTAGATCTGCATTCTAGATCTTAATAACAGACCTTTTTTTGATCCTACGGCAAAGAAGAGGGTTTGTCTAACTAAAGAGAGAGAATATTATTTTCACTTAAAGTAATAAGTAGATCTAGTAGGCCTAATAATTATAAATTAAGTTACTTAGAATTCTAGATCTATTAAAAATTATTACTATTATTAATTTATTATTATTACTTGAACAAGGTCTAGAGATTAGCTCCTAATTAACTTAGTCTTAGTGTCTAGTGATATAGATCTAGATTCTAGATCTAGATCTAGGTGGTATTACTATTAAATATTTAATATTATATTTATATTTATACCTATTTGATCAAATTTGCACAGGTAATAATATAATTATTAATATAATAATAATAATAACTTAGGCCTATCTATATATACTATTACTATATTATAATATATAAATGTATTAAATATTCAAATAACAATGCCATGGTTATCTGTAGTCGGTTACTATGACTGTAATAAAAGTGTAATTACAGCATACAGCTGGATATATATTCACATATGCATATACATACAATATACTCATATAGCATTGTTTTCTCTATAGTTAATAGTTTAAACACACACACACACCCTCCCCTAATTAGAATCTTCAATTTGCACTTAAAAGACTTATGTAATTAATCATTAATTGAACTGGAAAAAAGTATTTTTCTTTTATATGTTTTGTAATTTTTGTTTTGGTGTCACCCCCTAAATGTCACCCAGTGTGGTCCACACCCCCGGCCCCGCCTCCCAATGCCTCTGTTATATAATAATATGGGGATGGATAGGACTATTTGCAATAATTAATTTTAGTTATGAATAATTGGGTCACATCCAGTGTTTCTTCCAGACTTTTTTTCTCTGGGGGGGGGGGGGGGGGCCACTTGAAATTTTTGGTGGTGGTCTAAAATATCCCGGGGGGGGGGGGCAGAGTTTCTTCCAGTCATCTCTTCGGGGGGGCTTTGCCCCCCCGAAAAATTTTTACCGCCCCCCCCCGAACGAAATGAAATTTATATAATTTATATAGAAAATATATACTTTTAACAGTGTCCGCCCCCCCGAAGAAAGTTTACCGCCCCCCCGAAGATTTCAAGTGCCCCCCCGGAGAAAAAAGTCTGGAAGAAACACTGGGGGGGGGGACACTGTTAAAAGTATAAATTTTCTATATATAAATTTTATTTAGTTCGGGGGGGGGGGGGGGGCGCGCGGTAGACTTTCCCTGAAGAGATGCCTGGAAAAAAATCTGGTCACATCACAATTTGTTTTTATTTTACAATTTGTTAATCAATGGAAATTTTATGATTTTAAATCAGTACATTATACAACCATCAATTATATTCATTATATACTAGTTCAATATACTAGTATATTCTTACATAGTACATAAGTCCTATTCTACTAAAATCTGTTAACTATTACCATTACCATAATATAGTCCATAAGTCCTATTCTACTTGGATAAGTTTTATTTAATTATAATAGCAGCACGGTTAAATTCACTATAGGCCTATAATCTATGTATGTGCACTAATCCTAGCATGTGATATACTTTAGAATTATCACATCACTCACTGTGTCTTCTACTTCTACCATTGTACCTTGATAAATGACCCCTCTTTATTACCTGTGGTTCTCTAGGGACCTTAACTGTCAGGCTGACTGATTTATGTATTAAGAACACGGCCCTACTATGCTGGAACATTCTATCTCATAAATGTCATTCAGGAGCAGTATGTGTGTTGTGAGAAGTAGAATATAATTTTTTTAAGAACTATGAAGAGGAAATTTTTTATTTTTTTTATTTCAGGAAATTTTGTTTTGTAAGTTCAACTCTGTAAATAAAGAGAAATGAATTGTAGATTTCCAAGGCCTGATGCAAGTTGTAGATTGTTTTGTTTTCCTTGGGCTGGTGGAGGCGCTAGCTTCTACACAGCTTGGGGGGAAGATATAACAGAAGATGTTGAAGGTAAAAAAAATAATTTCATTCTGTCATAAGTGGTATTTGAGATAAGAAATATTTTACTTTTATTTTCAAAGACCGCACAGTTAGATGTTTAAAAATGATTTATTACCATTCCTAACCAAATAACACTACTTTAACCTAAAACTATTTATGAACACTAACATTTAAAATAAAACTAGTAAGCCTACAACATTTAAAGCAAAAGCATTTACAGCATTAAACTAAATAGCAACAGTCACTTACAAAGATTTCCTTTCCTTATTATATTCAACCATTGAGCTAAATTTATATATCATTTTTTTTTAATTTCTGAATGTGACCTGCTAAAGCATTAATATTAAAACTTTATGGCATACAGAGAACCAGTACAATAATTTAATTATGCTATTACAATAATAAGCTCTGTTATACATATATACCAACTTTACAAAAGGTCAATACATAACACATGGTCTCTAACAAACATGGATTCTATATGGGCATAAATTTGTTGAAAAAAAAATTTGAAATTATTTTATTTTAATCTAATCATGTGTTACTTCCTTATAGTAATTGGTGTATGTTTGGCTGGAAGAGAAAACAGATTCAACGAGCCTTGCTGTGATAATGCTAAAGAAACAATAGACTGGATTGTAAAGACATTACACGATGAATATTTCGATAAACCATTTGCTTTTTATGGTCACAGGTACTTGCATTATTAATCATAATCTCTAAATTACTACACATGAAGTGTAAACAATTATATGTTAATTACTCAGCATTGGTGTGCTGTATTTATCTCATTGTTTTTACTTTAGCCATGTTTGAAGTGAGAGGGTGGGGATGTAAATAAGGGTTTTACTAGGAAAGTGTGATATCATGCATTGTCTTGAAATAAGTTATACCAGGATATTAGTTGAAATCTAATATATAAAAAATATAGTCCTAATGGTACAGTGTGGTTGAGTTATTACTAGCCAGAGAGTCTCAAGTTTAGTTGCTAGACTTAATTAGTGACTTAGTCTTTTCTGCTCCTTATGGAACATAGGGCCTCTAGACTTAATTAGTAGAACATCAGTCCACCCAGATCAGATGGGCACCTGACTTGAGTGTGGATAGTAAAAGTGTCTCAGCATGTTGTTCATCATGCAACCCTTTCATATTCCACTGTTATAGAGAACTAAAACCATTGTAAAAAAAGTTACAGTTTCTGACCTTGTAATATTCATGGGGCAGATATAGTAGATTACATCTATTTCTGTGACCTCAACATATGAATGAATGGTGTGGTCAGCATTTTACTTTCCTCAACGTTATTTACGTACCCATCAGAGTTTGGCGGACTCAAGGCTGTCTGAAAGACTTGAATGCAAGATCCAAACTTGATACTTTCAAATCAACTTTCATGTGTGCTTTACAGTCAAACCATAACTTATCAATTGTACTCTTAGACTATGTAATTACACAGCAAATACAAGAAAAATGTAACAACTGAAATTTTTTTTTTCAGCATGGGTGCGTTGTTATCTTTTTTGGTAGCTTTGGAAATCAAACGGTTGTACAATAAGGAACCAGAACATATGTTTTTATCAGGGACCACAGCACCTCATGTGAGTAACGTTACCTTTTAGCCGTCTAACTCATAGCTATTTGATTTAAAAATTCATGGAAGGGAATAGAAATAAAACTTCTTTTTTATTTCCAGTCACCTCACAGACAAGCACGCATTTTAAATGTCAACAAACTAACTAAAGACGAGTTTTTAGAAAAGTTAAAAGTATTAGGTAAGAAGCTTCAGTTAATAGAAACAAGTTTTAAGGTAATGAATATTGTGAAATTAATACACACAATGATATAAATATTATATTTATATTAAAGTAATGATCTGCATTTAACATAAAAGTGCAGTTATTTGTTTTTAATTAAACATAATAATAAACTCGTTCATGGATTTATTTTCTAGGAGGGATTCCAGCAGAGATTTATGATAATCCAGAGCTAATGGAGATATTTTACCCCTCTATGTATGCAGATTTCTGTATGGTCCCTCAACTCAAGTAAGAAAATAAACACTAACACTATGTCTTAAAATGTGTAATGGGTTAGTTAATATAGATACAATTACAACTCAAGTAAATAAAACAAATGTGATATCATGATTGTATCTACATACAAGCAAACTCTTCCATTTTCAATCTTCAATACAATATTAAAACACTATTATCATCGTATCTAGGTATAGTTTATAAGCAAACTCCTACCATTTTAAATCTCCAATTACATATTAACTAAATAAAACAAATATGAATATATCATGATATGAGCAGGCTACTACCAGTTCAATTCTTCGAAACAACCAATCCATTTCAAATGTGTATTCATATCTTTGTTTTATCTAGATACGAACAAAGCCCAGAAGACAAACCTCCTTTGAATTGCCCTATTGACTTTTTTGATGGAACGGAAGATACTGATCACGATATCGCAGGCAAGTTATTTATTTTTATCACTATTTGCTTGCAAATTTATTTCTAATACACTATTTAACCTATTTTCGATATGACAATCCTTCATCTTCTTTCCCATCCCTGAAAGGATAGTGTGGTCAGCACTAGCCCAGCCTTTGGGTGGACTCAGAGACATTCTACTGGCTTAAACCCCGATTCGACTCTTCAGTCAGCAGTCTAGCTCCCTACTACTAGGCCACAATGTCCCCCTTACAATCCTCACTATCCCAGAGACCTGTTGACAATTATGCACCTTCTTTTTTCAGCTTGGAAACAAGTCACTAAAGGCAGCTTCACATTTCGTAAAATGCCAGGCGGCCATTTTTTTCTAAAAGAACCAGAGAACACTAGGAAACTGATCAACTATGTGAACCAGAGGTTTGGGGGGTTTGAGGACATTTGCTAAAAACAGAAAAAAACACAAAGACGATGATAATGTTCTGTGTAACATAAAGTAAGAGATGCTGAAATTAGCAAATTGTTTTATTAAAAAAATCTAACAAATTTTAAGTGTTGTTGATCATCTGGCTTGAAAAAAAAACTTTAAATCAGCAAAAAATGTAATCTAGCACATACAGCAAAATTTCTTTATTTACATTAATATTTGTCTCAATACTTGAGACTGGTCAATAAATATCACATAGAAATTATTTTTAAAAACAGAAAAAAGAGAGATCAGTTTTTTTTACCAAAGTATTTGAATAAAGTGTTCTTGCCAGATAGACTTTCTTGGCCGGATTCTTTTACTTTCTTTGCATTTTTATCTTGGTCATGCTCAATTTTGGCTTTTTTCCCTGACGTTTTTGGACTGTTCCCCATAACAATATGTGCCATTATTTCCCCTTGAATGCTACTGGGTAGCGCAGAAAACACAGAGGCATCAATTTCTTTGGGCAGGGCTGCTTTACAGCCCTTGAAATAGTTTAAACTGTGAGGCTGCTCTGTGGTGACTGGAACAGTATCCTCTGTTGTGCTTTTAAATCTTTCGGCTTTATCACAATGCATTTCTATCACTGGCTTTGATGAGCCTGTTTCTACATCCTTTTTACTCCAAGAACTACAACTCTCAGCATTTTCTGAGTACATGTTCCTGTTATCAATATCAACTTTATTATCATTTGTAGCTGGGCTCGGTTTCATAAAAGATATTGTCCCTTCTCTGTACCTCTTGTTTGATTTTTTCACAAGTTCTTTATTACTCGATGTGACACCTTTTCCAGGTATATGTGAGCTGGATTCAGGTTTAGAGAGTAACGAGTATTTTTTCCCATTGAGACAATCTTCTACACCAATTCCATACTGTGCGAGTACTTCCTTCTGTACATCCTCAGGCAATTCTGTTACTGTGTTCACGTCAATGTCTTTTGGCAAGAGTCTTAGCAGAAGTTCATGATTGTCATCAATACTTTTGACTTCTTCACTTCGCAGCTCTGCTGATGGTAATGATACAGGTGGTTCAGAAGATAGCTTTTGATTATGTTTTTCAGAAAATGCCCCACCTGATTTTTTATGACAAGATGATACAGAAACTTGTGACGCAGCTTCTGTTTGACTGGGTGGTCTGTCGTCTTTCTGTGTTTCAGTTTGTTTTGTAAAAAAATAGCTGATTTTTTCTTTTGTCTGGACAAATTTTCCCAAATTTGAAAAACAAATGTTGATTAAGGTCAGATGAAATGGCTTATGAGGATCCACCAATTTCTTGAATAAATTCATCAACACTGGCATTAAACCATCACACAGGGTGTCTATTGAATCTGTGAAGTAAACAAAAAAATATGAGACCATCACTAAAATAACTTAAAATTTAAAAGATTTACATTAAACAATGAGTGGGGTATTGTATCAGCCAAGGATTTTGTTTTGAAAAATGGTCAAAAAACTGTGAGCCTACCAAGCTCTAAAAAGTAACAGTGGAAACTAATGGATCCTATTAAAAACCCAAAGAACAGATAAAGTAGAGTCAATCTGTTTGTGACCTCATAATATGAAGTGAAGGTGAGGTCAGTTTTATACCCTGCTGCCTCCTGTTTGTCAGATATTCTTTGGAGCTAGGGGATAAAGAGATGTTATAACAGAATCCTTACATCATTATTGTTGACATGGATAAAATCCGTGTTCTTTTAGATCAAAGAGGCCGTAAAAATGTTTATAAAACAATCTTGAAAATACAAAAATGTAATATTTTTTAATAATCAATTATATTAAAGTTGCTAATACAGAGACCTTGAAATATTTTTTTTAGTTTAAGGCTACATTTCTATTTATTTTCATCAAGCCTAAGTTATAGCCTGATGTTTCAATTTTGTAAGATGAACATGGATTGGCTGTACAGAAACTCAGTGATCGATATTCTGAAAACCGCCCTTCATAGTAATTTGGTCTCAAAACTTATAAAAATTTTAAACTAATTTTTTTTTTAAAACCACATTGGCTAGTTCTGCCATTTTTGTTTTCATTTTCTGTGATAAATGTAAACAACCAAATTTTTTTTGGCTTTTTAAAAAAAATTTTAGTTACAAAAAATACTACAAACATCAAATACATCCAATCATTGGTAAAGTCCAAGAAAAATCAGATTTTTATAACCATATTTATTTTATAACATCGTAGGCTTAGATAATTTTAAAATATTTAATGGGTCTTTCAAATAATTTTCAGGCTGTTCTCGGTTGTGTCCATTGTGTGGTCTAACACACCACATGTCCCACATTCATGAAAGCCAAAAATAAATGCTTAATTCCGTTTTAAACCTACATCAACCTGATTGATTAAGTGTTAGGTTTATACCTAGCAACAATTTAGCACATACTTTAAGAGTGTTTGTGAGTATATGATCTGAACTTACCAGTGGTTTGAGATCCTGAGAAGATGTTACATGGAATAGGGCACTGCTTGCTTTCTCTTTTTCTGTTTAAGTTGTATCTGTCAGTATCAGAAGCTGGCTGTTGGCCAATTATTCGCCTCACAGTTAGGCGTATAGTCTGAGGTGTGCGGCCATCTTCAATAACTCTAATTTTAATAGTATCAATTTTTAAAATAAATAGAAAGTACTCTGTTAATATTTAATTAAACCTATTAAAAAAATCAAAACAAATTCTAAAATTAATATATTGTGAATAACATGAAATTGCAATCGAATAAAATATCAAATAATGCATAAGCAATAGTTGATTACTACTGGTTGTTCATCCTTTACTTTCAACACATCAAGACCAACAATGCTATAAAATACCTTTTCAAAAGAGCAGTTAGCAGGGATTTAACTCTTGTCTCTGCATCTTGGTAAGAGTTGCAGCACTTGAATGAATCCTCATCACTGAGTGTCTATGAGATGAAATGTTATTATTGTTTACACAAGTATTAGAGAAAAATCCTATTCATTAACTTTGAATTAGAATACAGAACAATATCCAACCTTTCAAAATTTTGTCAACTAATTTTAAGACATTTTGCACTAATGTTTTGAATTATAAGTATTCTTTTTAAACAAATGTGTTTAATATGGATTAACTCACCTGTGGTAAGCTGTATTTTATTACAGGTGAGTTATCAATACCAAAGCTACTTTTGATAAGAAAATCTGCAGTGGCTGTCCCAAACTCTGATTCTAAAGTCTTGTGGTCGGCATTCTGTAAGTCTTGTACAGTAACAATTCCAAGATTTTTCAAAGTGCAGTTTGTGCTCCATCCAATACCTTAATTAAACAAACACAATAAACAAACATAATTTTCAGGGATTGATAATAAGAAATAATCTTAAAATAACTAGTAACCTACCAGTAAGACCATATTATAAAGGAAAGGCCCTAATCTACCAAGCAGAGATAACGATATGTATATACCTGGAATGGAATTGGCAGAAGGGAGAGAAGAAATCAACTTGACAGCCAGAGAAGGAGGTAGAGTTGTCTGTTGGTTGGGTTTCTTGACAGCCCCAACCAGTTTGGCCAGCAGTTTGTTGTGAGCTATGCCTGCGCAACTAGTTATGCCTAATTCTTTCTCCAATGCCTCGCGAATGTCTGCTGCTATCTGAGATCCAATCTGTAGTCTCAGATAACATCCACAAGAGCAATCAGGAGAAACATCTGGTTAAAAGAAAGTGATTTCAGGCAATCATTAGGTTATGTTTATTGCAAAATGAATAGTTTCAGTGTCATTTTCCCAGTCTATAGATTTAATGATGCACTTTGATTAAAATACTTTTTCGAGCAAAATCCATTCAGTAATAAGATTAAATTACAATAAACTTATATTTTAAGGACGGTGTGGTCAAAATGGTAGAGCGTTAGGCTGTTAGCCCGAATGTCTTGAGTTTGGATCTCAGATTTAGACTTATGACTGTAGGACGTCCCTGAGTCCACCCAGCTCTGACTTACATTGGGGAAAGTAAAGGCGGCTGGGCCAAGAGCTGACTACATCATTTCTTCATGTGCTGAGGTCAAGAAACATGAACTCTACCTCATCGTCCCAATGGATTGCTATGTATGAAGAGGAACTTTGCTATATTTAAATGGATATTTTCATGAATGAACTTAATCAGAACATGACTGCATAAAAATATCACTATTTAAATTCATGAAATGAATTTACTTTCAACTAAAATATTTCTGAACAAGATCTCCTACCTTGATGAGAGCTTGAATCATAGACATGACCAATAAATTTTTTGTGAAACTGGCCATCTTTAATTCTCCATGTCACCATTTCAGACACATCAATAAAGTTCTCATCAAATCCAAGTCTCTCAACTTGTGGTGTATATTTCTGTATAAACTCTTCAATACAAACACAGGGATTTAAACTTAAATTAATTTTCATCTGTAGCAATAGGTCATCTTAAGAATGCAATTTTTAATATGTAATAAAATAGAATTAAAAATATAATATAATTAATTTTAAAATGAAAAAATATCCTTATAAATATAAAATCTTTGCTTTAGATTTACTTTTTCCAGAATTGCAGAATATATATTAACCTGAAATTTGATAGGACATCTGCCTATAGTTTGTAAGGTCTTCTCCACTCACTAAAACAAGCTCTGGGCATTTTTTAATGGCATCAGTAACATAGCTACACTTGTTAACACCCATCATTCTTGCCACATAGTTACTTGTGACAATTATATTTTTCTGCTGAATGCCTGTATTTACATAATAGTATTAATAATCAATAACCCTGAACTGTTTCTAACTTTAAAAAGAATTTTACAAAGATTTTACTTAGTTTACAAAATTGTTCATAACATACCTAGTTTTGCTTTAAAATCATAAAGATAATAATAAACAGTGTATTTTAAAGATCATTTATAATTTACAGTATATAATTAATATGTTTATGACATTAGTATTCTTTTCAATAATTAGTTGAACAATAAACCGGTAGTAATCTCCCCTAAACTTTCTCGAACATTCTTATATAAAACAACAGGGGATGGTAACTGGGGATATAGTTATGATTTTTAATCCATTTTAAATACTTAAACTTTTAAAAATAGAATAGAATCTCAGTAAAAAACAATTGCGCACCAAGCGAACGCCTAATAAAGGTGTGTATAATAGTGCGCAATAGTATTAGTACTTAATAAATTTACATTAGTTTTTTGAGAAATCGGAAGTAGCGTAAATTACTACTTCCGTTCAACGGAAATTACTCAAAATTTGAGAGAAGGTAGAGAATTAGATCTTTTACTTACATGTGAAATTTCATTTATCTATCTGAAATAGTACTCAAGTTATATGCTTTTGAAAAATTCAAAGTAGAAAAAGTACCACTTCCGGTTATCGGAAATCGCTCAAAAGTTGATACGGATCTACGATTTTGATAAAATACTTATATATGAAATTTCATCAACCTAGCTGTAACGGTACTCAAGTTATCGTGTTTACACACGGACACACACACACACAGACACACAGACATACGGACAGAATTGCAAAGCCCAGTTTTTCAGACTGGATTACGCATAAAACCTCTTAATTTTGATAAATCTGGATTGATAATTTTTGCCCGATTAAAATAAGTCCTCTATACTTCGGATGTGATGAAGGACTGAGGTGTAATACGGTGAAAATTGTTAAAATTTCAAGTGATTTTTGTGCACGATTACAATACTTTCTCTATACTTCGTATATACGAGAAAGTAAAAAAGTTAACATTCATTGAATTTTACCTAATGGCTTGCGCCTTAATTCTGGATTATGTAACATTTCAACTTGGTGCGAGGGTGTGCATTTGCTGGCAAAAAAGGTTAACATTTGCTACATTTTACCTAATGGCTTGCTCCTTAATTCCGGATTCCGTAACATTTCAACTTGAGCATAGAAACAGTCTATATCTAAATGGATAATGGTGCGAGGGTGTGCATTTGCTGGCAACAGTCTCTGACTGCTTACATCTGTAAAACATTTTTTTAAATACCGCATATATGACGTTTCAAATAACTACTGGCTAACATTTTGTCAGGTGAGTAGAGTACTCAACTGCTAACCTGAAGGTCTCAGGTTCGGATCTTGGACTCAAGTCTATAGAATGTCAGTAAGTCCTGCCAGCTCTGATGGGTACCTGACTCACATTAGGGAATGTTTAGCCGGCTGGACATAGTGCTGACCACAACATCTCTTTATGTGCGATGGTCAAAAACAAAAGAACTCTACCTTATCTATCCTAAGGAGTGTCAGGTGAACTTCATTTTACTTTTGACAAATTTTGCCAGTACTTTGGCACCATGTATTGTAGAGAGAACTCCTTGTAAAATATTATACAGATTAAACTATCTGCCATTTCAGATACCTGTTAAAAGTAGCAAGTAAACATTGGGGACGGAGTGGTCTAGCGGTAGAGAGCTGGACTGCTAACCCGTAAGTCTCGAGTTCGAATCCGGGTTCACGTCAGTAGACCATCCCTGAGTCCACCCAACTCTGATAGGTACCTAACACACGTTAGGGAAAGTAAAGGCGGCTGGGCATAGTGCTGACCACACTATCTCTTCATATGCCGAGGTCACAGAAACAGGTGAACGCTACTTCACTTGCCCTTCAGGTTTGAAAAGGGAACTTTAAGTAAACATGTATACCCTTTAAGAATCTATCAATACGACAACATCATAATAGGTCTATTTTAGTAAGTTATATTAAAAACCAATAAAATAACATAAATAGATATAGGCCTATCTAGATCTTTTTTAATAAGATTATAGTCATGCAACAGATAAGGAAATCATTTTGATGTTTTTCTTACTTAAACTTTGCCTCCAGAAATCTTCGGGTTCAATTGTTGAATCATTTTCACCTGGGATACAATCGCCATTGTCAACATGGTCCAAATCATTCCCACAATCGTAGTATGAAGATCCTTGTCCAAAGTTTCCAGATTTCAAAGTACTTTTCATTGTTTATCAATGTGATAATGTCCAACTCATTACATTCCAGGGCCTAATGAACATGAATTATAATTTAATATGATAATAAATACATTCAAAATTGATATATTTTAAATATTTTTTGTTACAATGTTATGTGTAACTTACACTGTCTGTTACTAAATATTGTAGTATTAATTATTTTTTAATTCATACCAATGTGTAGGGGCCTATATATATATATTTATTTATATAGTGTTAGAGTCCTCTTGGAGTCTTTATGAATGTTTAAACACTATGTCTGTTATCTATCTAGTCTACTTAATACTTAACTAGTATCCAACACAGAAACTACCACACTATACTCCACCTAAAGAGTACGCTCTATATTCTATTCAATTTCAATAAGTACTTGTGACTTTATCACTTACTAACTAAGCCTTTTAGAGTTTTTGGAGTGACCTTAGTTTAGTTACTTTAGTAACTAAGGTCAGAGGTGTAGCGAGGGGGGGGGGGCGGGGGTGCGGAGCGCACCAGGTGACACCATTTGGGGGGGGGGGGGTGACATCAAGGCAAAAAAGAGCAAAATATATAGAGGAAAATGATAATTCCACTTAAATCGAAAGTTTGAGGGGGGACGTGCAAATTGACAGTTTGAGGGGGGGTCAAAATCAAAAGTTTGAGGGGGGGGGGTGCAAATCGAAAATTGAAAGTTTGTCCCGGGGCTATGTTTCTGGGGGGTGACACCATTAAGTGCCGCACCGGGTAACACCTGACCTCGCTACGCCACTGACTAAGGTCAAGCTTAAGAGACTGAGCTCCAAGAGTTAGAGTAGAAATCTACTACTACTCCATGATCTTGAATTAATCTAGCTAGGACCTAGTAATAGTAGAGGGCCCAGCTAGGGGTGGTCTAGCTAGCTAGATATCTAGATCTAGTAGCTACACTCCCCTAGAGCTTTAGAGTAGGAGTCTAGCAGAAACTGCTTGTCTAGTAACTCTCAAGTGACCTGGTGACACCACAGTGAATACCACTAAGATCCAGTAAACTAGTAATGAGTATGTAGAATGTAGTAGTAGTATGTAATATGTAATGTATGTAGTACTATGTACTTTCACTATGTAGTAAGTACAGTACTAGAGATCTAGTAAGTAGTACTTAGACTTAGTAGTAGTAGTATATGTAAGGAGCAAAGTGGACTAAGTCTAACTATAAAAAGACGTCTAAGTCTAAGAATACTCTACACTCTACTCTAAATCAATCCAGAGTAAACTAAAATGCAAGTACTCAAGTAGCCGAAACTACTCACACTGCTGTGGCTGTGGGCCTACAGACCTACACGATCTCCTTTCACTTTGCGTTTCGCGGGGAAATAGCTTGTTATTCTAAACGGTATTTTAAAGTATCCCATTTATCTTTTCCATTTAGATCTAGATCTAGATCTCTTTCATATTGCCTGTGTCTTGTTTGTTAAGGTCATCGCGTTTCGCATCTTCAGCCTAGAGGCCGAGGGGGGGGGGGTGCTTCTTACGAGTAGTCTCATCGTTGTAATAATCCTCCGCTCACACCATACACATTACAGCGAGCAGTATGTCCAGGGAAGAAAATCAGGTTACGCCCATAAAGTAAAGGATAAATCATTAAATGGCACGTCATGTAAACATGTGTTTATAATTTATTTTGAAAAAAAAACAATTGATTAGCTACTTGAATCTAAAATTAGATTTAAGTAGACCTGCACACGTTTTTTTTTTTCTATATGCTATCGGCGAGTGAGCATACTGTTTGATTTGCTAAAGAATCGAATAAATGTGTCATTAAAATCCTTGGCCATATTAAATTTTTTTTCAAGCGTCTTTGCGATCTGCCCTTTGATTTTAGAGTGAAAATTTTCAACTTGAATACAATTTCGTTTGTTTTTTTATTCCGGTATTTTTTCTTATCTTCAGTTTCAGCATTTCGGATCACTTAATCTTCTTGACGCGCTTAAATTTATTTTCATCTTGTTCCATTTGTAAATTTGCATGGTGAATAAATTGTTAACGTAACTGGCCAGTCTTTCTCCATGTTTACATGCGTACATAACCGGAAACAGATGTTTTACTTTCATTATTTGCATCGCAACGTAGGTCTAGTTTACTGCTGACGGTATCTCAAGATCACTTGACAGCTTTTCAATTTTTGCAGCATTGAAACGAAATGCCTCTGTGTTTTAACCGATTGTCATGTTTCTAAAATCATTGTATAGGTGTATTTTTGTTAGACATTTAGAAACAAAATTAAATCTATTTCAATTTTGAAATGGGATTGGCGGTCTACGAAGAAATGTCACTGCTGAGGTGTACCAGTACCATCAGTGCCACTCTCATCTTCCCTGTTATTTTCACTTATTATATTTTGGCAACGACTGTTGCAGTCTATGGTAAAGTTATGTTTGTATAATTTATTAATTTAATTATTAAAAAGTAGATAGGCCTAACATAAATATAACAATTACAAACTGACTACGCGTCTTGCAGAGCATGGTCCCTGGCCTAAGTTCGCCTAAGGAATTGACTATGCCTATGCGTCTCGCAGGTTAGATTTGCCATCTTGTAATTGAAATGCTTACTTTTTGCTTCTCTATCACATCCGGTGTGGTTTAGTCAACAGTGTGCCAGCTGTAGACTGTAGTTCACAGACCCGGAGATCCGAGTTCGAACCCGGGGTTTTTTTTTTAAATATGACGTATGATCCTTTTTTTTTTTAAATAAATTTTCAAGCATCGTCACTGGCGTAATTGCTTGCTTGCCTTACGTTTACTATCCCTTGAGTGCAGAGTTTCTTCCAGGCATCTCTTCGGGGGGGCTTGTGCCCCCCCCCCCCCCCCCCCCCCCCCCCCCCCCCCGAAAAATTTTTACCGCCCCCCCCCGAACGAAATGAAATTTATATAATTTATATAGAAAATATATACTTTTAACAGTGTCCGCCCCCCTGAAGAAAGTTTACCGCCCCCCCCGAAGATTTCAAGTGCCCCCCCGGAGAAAAAAGTCTGGAAGAAACACTGCTTGAGTGGAAAATCCCACAGCGGCCCACGGTCGGTGAGGTCACTGTGAGTTCAGCAGGCCTAAAGCATACATCATACTCATAGAATGAACACAAGTTTACGCACCCTCCCCCCTCAAGCAAATTGAGTTTACTTTTTACCCAATTTCAACTAGAGTCTACCTAGACTTAAAGAAAGCTAGAATTTTTGGTTGTTTTTTTTATTTTCAGCACATTTGAAAAGTCTTACTAGATAGCAGCAGTACATTAGTACTAGAGCTACTAGTGACCCTAAAGGTTTTTAAAAAGGCCTATTTGTTAATTTTTTTTCAATTAATTAAGCCTAATTAACCCATTGCTTGAAATTGTTTCTGGCAAGCATACTGAATCGAATTACTAATAGATTTAGATCTACTTGCCAAATAATAATGCTCTTTTCATAAATCATTCGTTTTAATTGTATGAATCATATATACAATAATGATTTTCAAATTATATTCATCTGAATGAATACGACTAATGTGCTAATAATCTGTAAACGTGTCTTTTAAGCCTTGGGTAACATAACCACTTTTTTAAAAAGCATTTAATTTGAATTTTTGGACTTTGCTCGTCATAGGAGACAATAAATACAAAATTGTGTTCAATGTTGTCTTTGTGACCCTAGCTATGTACTATGTGTGGTAGATAAGTGCTCAGACACCTTTTCTTATCCAACTTTCCAAGTCAGTTAAACATTTTAGAATTGGGTAGCTGGAAGTATACTCCAGGCTAACAGACTCTAGCCATAACCTTCACCCTAAAATTATGTTTATAGTTTCCACCGTTTTATGTTAAACGGAAATTACTGACTACTGATTGTATTTATTTATACTTTTTAACAGGCTTAAATTAAAAACTAAAAAGACAAAATAAATTAGTTTAGTATTATGAAATAATGTCCCCATTGTATTCTAATTAATATTTACCCACTTTTCAACAGTTGCTGCAGACATTGAAATAGCAACTGCGCCAGATGAATATATTGTGTTTGAAGAGTCATTGTACTTTGAAATAACATGGCCAGCCTCCCTGATGTATACATACAAGTTGAAACAAGCAAGAGATTTTGGTACCCGTTTTGTAAGTATTGATAAATATATGATCTTGAAGTGGATACATTTAGCCATATATATCAGTGTGCAACATTTCTAAAGTAAAAACTTGTAATAGCATTTTTTTTTTAAAAAACCTAATTACTTTATCTGCAGGTTTTAAAAAAGTGTCTATAAAATGTTTGACCATTAGGCAAGAAACAATAAAAAGAAAACAGATTAAATTAAGATTCTTAATAGGAATATTTTTTTTATTTTTAAGTTATCAAGACTTCTGTTTGTTGTCATATATTGCTATATGTATTTCTTGTCATTTATTACTATAGATATTTAACAGTAAACTTATTATAGCTGAGTGTTTGCCAGGTTGTATTTGTATGCACTTTATGAAATGTATTACATATGTTATTTGTATCTGCAATTATTAGGACAAAATATATCAAAAAGTAGAAATGGTGTTAGCAGACCCTGAAGATGCCTGCCAAGATTTATACAATGATGTCCCAGGAAGTGTTGTGCTTATTTTGCGTGGGTAATTACCATTATTCACATTATTCCCTTTTTTCCATCCTTTCATAAGAGTTTTTGGCTTTATTTATTGTATCATTTTATTTTATAATTATCTCAACATATGGTAATACTAACAGCGCTACACTACACAGTTTTGCTGTGTTGAATTTCCACTAACTAATAATTAAATATTTTTAACTGTCAGGCATATAGTAGCTGATTTTAAATTATTCTTTTCATGGAACTGTTGTGGACAAGAGTACCATTAAATAGTATTATACTAAAAGTATAATTTTTTTTGTAATGCAGCTAAAGTTCTTCAATTAGTTTCATAAAACGAATCATACTCATTATAAAATATATATATATATATATATATATATATATATATATATATATATATATATATATATATATATATATATATATATATATATATATATATATGTCTGTCTTAAATTTATGTAAGTTGTGTAGATTTATTAAAAAAGAATAAAAAATAAAAACAGATTAACTGTACCATACATAGGAAACAGAAATGTCTCATATGGAATGCACTGCAAGGGTAACATAAAATCAACTTCTATACACATCAGAATATCATTTTTGTAGTTACCTCACTTTGCAGCTCTAATTATTCAAGACATTTTTTGCAGTTTTCCTACTTATTGAATTATTCCTGTCAGTTATAGAGCACTTATTCATATCATTTTCAGTCGAGGACTTGTTCTCCACTGTAAATGTCTAGGAACAGTTAGGTAACAATAATACTCAACCCCTCCCCTGCTTGTGTTTTTTATGAAAAGCATTAATTCACCAATTTATGTTAATTATTAATACTTAACTATTACCTTTTTTTTTAGGGGCTGCTCTTTCCTTACAAAAACCAAAGTGGCAGAGAGAGCAGGTGCTTTGGCGGCCATAATAGCCGATAATGATGAGAGCAATGACAGTATTATGATTGACATGGTCAGTGATAGCACGGATCGAGTTGTTAACATTCCCTCATTTTTTCTTGTAGGAAAAGATGGGTAAGCATAATTTTATACAAGTTCAATTTTTTTTAAATGCGCCATATAAATCTAGTATGAAATTTTGGCCATTTTTTGTGATGACTTCTATTTGTTATCTTTTGCAGGTCAATGATTAGACGACAGCTTTATGCCATCAGATCAGACCATGCAATCATTAACATTCCGGTGAATCTGACTGGGAAATCAATTGTAGAAGCTAAAAGGCCACCTTGGACTATCTGGTGACAGAATAACGTGTTAAAGGGATAAAATTGAAAGAAATAATGTTATCTATTTTTTAAAACTTTTACAGTACAACATTTTTATTTTAAATTTTGTTGTTTAAACTGTTGTTTTTATTAAAAATGCATGTTCTTGAATAATCTACAACCAATCAACCACAAAAATGCTTTTTATTGACAGACACTATAATTAAAGGAAAATGCTTTTTATTGACAGACACTATAATTAAAGGAAAAATGTATGATTGCTATAAATTATCTTTGTACATTTTAAAAACCACAGTGTATTCAAAAAATGTATTGAACAAGAAAATTTTTATAATTTAATTTGTTTTATAGCTTAATATCCAACTTTTAAACAATATTAATTCCTTTAAAAAATTATTTTAAAATTAACTAGGTTTAATGGTGAGTTCACATTTAAATACACAAAAGATAACAGCACATTTTTGTCATTCTATAAATTATAATTAATATTATGGGATGCAATTGAAACATGTTAAGAAACTATTTGTGAATGGGTTTTACCCTTCAAATGAGTTTTAATTAAATTGTCAAATAATGTTTTTAAAGAAATTGTTATATTATATTTCATTTTTAAGGTGTAGGTTGTTGGTTTTTTTTTTTTATGTTTAATTTTTACAATTTGTTTTGTAGCAAAACAGGAAATTCATAATTGTTTTGTACTTCCTGAATTGAATCCATTTTTTCAATGATATGCTGTTTTGTTTCAAGTATTGTTAAAACCTTCTCAATGGAAAACATGTGATAACAAAGAGGATATTGCATGTTTATTTGAATTGTTTAAAGAATCCACAACGAAAGTATAGGCTATGCACTGGACTCATGTGCCCATCTTATATAACCTTTGTATTCAGTCTATTCCTTCCTTGCGTGTGATGCAAAAAGATCAGTGTATGATCAATTTCAAAACATTTTTTTAGCCTGACAACTTGCATGTTAACTTTACAAGTATTGTAACTTAAAAATGTATGCAACTCTGCCTTAATTTATGTGAGAGCTTATTTTAAATATTAAATTTTTTTTTTTAAATATTTGAAATGGCTGCATGTTGCTCTATAGACTACATAGAATGAATATTTACCTCACTGTTGATCCCCAACAGCTGGTATAAATAATACTTCACTGTGTAAACATCTTGTGCAATAAATAAATGTACTATGAATTTGTTGTCAAGGTTCCACTATATTTAAAAACTATGTCATTGTAAATTGTTTTGAAGCTTTTTTGTATTGCATAACATATTTATGAATATTATCTTCTAAATCTATTCTTCAAATAATAAAATTAAAATTATTTAATTTGAAGTTGCCAATTTTTTTTAATTGTTGCCATTAGTGCTTATGTCATTAATGCATGTTTTTTTCATTGTGAAGGAAAAAAAATTGTTAATAACTTGTTTTAAATTTGTTTGTTTTTTTACTTTAACCTCAATAATCAAAATGTAACATGGATTTACCAGAGTTTTTAGGTAAATGATGATTGGTATACAACCATTGTAAATTGTATTTAAATCAGTATTCCAACTGGTTGGAAATGTCAAAAATATTTTTTAATTCTCTCTTCTCATCTTTCATCCATATTGGAGAACTAGTTCACCAACTATATTCATTCTATTTTTGATGATTTTATCATGTTCTTTAGGCTTGTGTTAGTCCAGCTGTGGTACTGTGATGTCTATTTAAACACACTAGCCCTTTTTGTTCAACAATTATGTGATTTAATTATTCATTGCCTGCATTTGAATTCAAATGTCAATTGTTTGGCGTAATTGTGATTACTGTTGGTAAAAAAATAGGTGACAGCTTTAACTACTATACTAGTGAGTATTGTTGTGTGCTAGTTCGTTATATTCTGTATTATATCTCAAGGGAGTGATTAGAATTGTATGTTGCACATTGTATTTACTGAATAACAAAATAATTAAAGTAACATTTTTTCTCAGAAAATGTGTGATGGTATCTAGATCTTAATTCTCACCATTTATAAAAGTGTTCTCCCTTGATTTGAACCTATGCTCTCCTTGAATACTAATCTTAGTTACCTTTGTCTAACAAAACCTAAAGATAACCATACATTACTTTGTGTAGATTATAGGCTGATGGTTTGTATAACATAAAATTAATCCAGCTTTTCTTTTCAATTTTGATTTTTAGTACTGGTATTCTACCCAGTCGGTACTAGAATATATTTGTGGTAAAAAATAATAAACTGAAGAAAAAATAATAATTGATTTGATGGGTAAAATAATATGATGCCAACTTAACCTCAATAATTTTAACTCATTATTTGAAATGGATGACTGTTATTCAACCAAACTATGCTTCTTTAAATAAGATGAATATATGTAAAGTTAGGATTTAGGTAATACCTTAACCTTGTTCTTTTTTATTCAAACACATAGCTAGAAGAAATGTGACATAGTTTAAGTAGCAAATCACCAGCTGTTACTGTAGTATTTTTTAGTCAATCTTCGAACATCTCTGACAATTACAATGGGGAAAAACTGTTTGGCAATTTAAAAAGTCCCTGAACTGATACTGTAAACACCATTACTAACATGACTGAGAAATTTAGAAACGTACACATCAAATGTCAATACTATGAAACCCAAATTAATATTTTAGACCACTTAGAGGCTCAAAACAACTGGAGTGTAGTATTCTATTAACGAGGGTCACAAACAGCTCATTATTTTTCAGTTAACTGTTGAAAAATTATTTAGTTCAACTTTTTAGATTAACTAATATTCAAATGTGTGCCTTAATGTTTGTCAACAACTAGGTTTGTCTGCTATTCAAAGTGTTTGCCTCATCACAATAAAAAAGAATTTCAAATTATTTGTTTTGGTTGTTTTTTTTCTCAATTAGCAATAAGTTATTTTGCAGTAGAACTTAGTCCATGCAAGCATTGATTCATTTATTTTATACAGGTTATGCACTTATAGTAGTCAACTTCAAGTATTAAAAAAGATCAGCACAGTATTCTTTGTAAATGTGTATAAACTGTATGTCCATCAAAAATGTAAAAAAGTGATTTGTCAACTCTAATTGCTTTTTAATTCAATTCAAAATGGATTTAAGTTCAACACTATCGTGGTGAATGTATCTACTTTCAATTTTTCAAAAGTCTATAACTTGAGTATAATTTCAGAAAGATACGTGAAATTTTACATGTAAGTGCTAGATCTAATTCTCTGCTATCTATCAAATTTTGATTATTCTGGATTCAGAATTTTTGCCCGATCCAAATGATTTTATCTTATACTCCATATATTCTGATGTACTGACATGTATAACGATGAAAACTAAAAATTATATGATTTTTGTGCACATCTACAATACTTCCTCTATACTATGTATACGAGAAAGTAAAAAAAAAATTAAAAAACTTTTTAATAACAAGCTTTAATGTAATAAAGCACTAAAAAGTGGAAAATAAATTACTTTTTAAAAATCCTAATATATAAATGTGTGCACTTCTCTCTCTCTCTCTCTCTCTCTCTCTCTCTCTCTCTCTCTCTCTCTCTCTCTCTCTCTCTCTCTCTCTCTCTCTCTGGCTGCTCTCTCCAGCCGATCAAACACTATTTTCAATGAAAGACACAATGAAATTATCAATGACAGAGTCAATGATAACTACCGCTCTCCTGTATTTTTCTCTCGAGAAACTCAATGATAAAGCGTTAGTAGTTATAAAGAGAGAGAGAGAGAGAGAGAGAGGGAGAGAGTTTATCAAAACGGAAATAATTCAACTCGTTTAATTAATAAAGCGTTAAACGTAATTATTAATTCTTAATTTCTCAGCGATTGATACAATTGTTGTGGGACAGTTAAACTATTTTTTAAAAATATAGATCCTTGATCTTCATTTATAATTTATTAATTAAAATAAGATTTTTAAAAAATAATTAAAACAGGTCTTTGTACTATATTATTAAAAAAAACAACTAATGAATATAATAAATAATGTTTACTATTTCTCATTCTAAACCTATCGAATATCTTTTTTTTTTAAAATGCAAGGTAATCTTTTATAGAACCTACATGATTAACTTTTCTTCTAATAATAAAAAAAATAAAAACTATTATTCCTACAAATATTAGAGTAGTCTCCCTTGACAGTTTCTATTCGAATGTATTTTGTGTTAATTTTCGTTATGAAATACAGTTGACTTTTTTAATTAATTATATAAGAAAACAATCTATACTGTGTATATTTATTTTAAAAAAAATATTATTACAATAATTAGAATATGTGTTTCTGGTTAAATAGCAATTATTCTCATTCTAAATCTTTGGCTATCGAGTTTCATGGGTTTTTAAATTTAAGATTATGAACACATTGGCTTGACAAAAATGATTATATACACTTAAATACATACTAAAATTTACTTTTGTTAATAAACCTACACTATTTTATGCACACATGCAAAAAATAATATTTTAGCGGCAGTTACAACGTCAAAAAAAAGGAAACTCCTTTATACTGAATAGTTCTACGTAACAACAAAAATGTAAAAATACATAGTCCTAGAGCACACTAACACATACATATATACATACGAAGATATGTGTGTGTGTAAGTAGGATGTGAGGTGGGTAGACAGGCGGGTGGAAGGAAAGCAGTTTGAGAGGAATAACGGTAGGTTGGAAAGTAGGTAGGCAGGCAGCAGCGCAGGCAGGTTAGTAGATAGGTAGGTACGTAGGCAGGGAGTTAGGTATGTAGGTAGGTGGGCCTAGGTAGGAAGGCGCCTCACTCGGTATAGTGAGCGATTATAGTAGCCCATCATATTCATAGAGTTTCGCAATTATTAAAACGAACAAAGGTACCATAGTACTCACGGGAAAACCCGGGGAGCTAAATAGAACCCTGCCGGGGCGCCACCAAATGGGCGCCCCTAATTCGGTTTAATTATAAAATGTCGTGTGCCACCGTTTCCCTATTGTAGGGTGCTCTTTAAAGAGGCACTCTCGGTAGAGCCCGGGGCGCTCGCTGTCGCCAACTGCCAGGGCGCCGGCGGGCGCTCATTATTCTACTTAGTGAACATTTATAGTAGCCCATCTAAACCGTAGTGTCGCCTGAGGTGGGTCTTGGCCGCTCTGGGCCACTCAACCGCCGGGGAGCTGGCGGATGAACCTGGTGTAGTTTTATCACTGAATTTCAGAGGCGTAGCACCATTCCTGGCGCCTGGGGACAAACTTTCAATTTGGCGTGTCCCCCCCCCCCCCCCGTTTTTTTTTTTTATATTTATAATGCAAAACTGTAGCTAAAATGAGCTTTTAAATTTTTCCCACCCATTTTGGCGCCCCCTAGGGTTGGCGCCCGGGGGACATATGTACCCCCCCCCTCGCTACGCCTCTGCTGAATCTAGTATTACCTATGACCGCCCAATTGATGAGATAGCCCCTCTGGATTCCCCTCTGGATTCTGGGCTCATAATCGTATAATCGTATAATGAGAAAAATCGAACCCTCCCAGGGTGCCACACTTAAGAATTTTTTTCTTTCTCGAAACCCTTTTCACCAACTCCCCAAAATTTTATGACTCTCGTACGAACAGTGTCAAATTGCATCTGGCTTTTATTTTTATGGAGAAAAATTGCATTGCTTCCTGTCAGAGACCCCAGATCGAATGGGGCGCCAAAAGGGGTAGACAATTTTTAAAAAATCCTCATTCTTCAGTAAAATTTAAGAAAACAGATTTATACATGACTGATATCCTCAATTATTTTATATAGGGGAGTGTATGTAGGGATGGGCGCCTTTTTGCCAGCGTTTGAATAGGGTTGGCACAACATTGATAGTTCGCCCCGGGCGCCGGAATAGGTTGCTACGCCTCTGCTTCCTGCTAGGGCGCCGCCCTGGCGAAATCTTTCCGGGGGGGGGGGGGGGCGTGCTGACACTGTTAAAAGTATATATTATTTCTATATAAATTCCGTTTCGTTCGGGGGTGGGGGAGGTCGATAGACTTTCTTCGGGGGGGTGGGGGGGGGGGGGCTCTGCTTTCCCCCCCCCCCCCCCCCCCCCCCCCCCCCCCCGAATAGATTCCTGGAAAAAACTCTGTTCACAAAGTTTTATGGCGATCCGATGAAAAAGATGTAGTAATTCATATAGGACAAACAGATAAAAAAAAACATACTTTCATTTCTATAAATATAAATAGATATATACTTTAACTAGTGTCCGCATACCCGCACCCGGAAACTTAGTCACAATTTTCTTTGTTACATTTGAACCCTTTAGGTTAATCAATATTAACAAAATTGAACAAGATGCAACAAATACAGTTAACCAAGAAAATGAACAAGTAAAATTCACGTTATCTTTTTATTGTTTTTAGATATAGAGTAGTAACAGACTACCTACAGGTCCTAACTCGCGACGAGGTACACATTTGTATTAAAACACAGATCTAAGACATTTTCCATTTAGGTGGGTTTTGCAGTTCAGTGGTTTCTTAAGTCGTGGACAAGTGATTGCGCTTATCTCTGTTGAGTAGCTATGTATTCTGTCCTATGTTAGACACATTTGTAAATATCTGTCACAATATGGGCATAGAGATGATATAACGATAGCTTATCTTTGCGGACGACGCTAAACTTTGGCATCGACACCACGGCCTACAAGTTCAAATTCGGTCCTTCAGAAATGTTTGAAGTCTCTCGATTAAAACTACTTTTCTCTTTTATGTGCATACTGACCACATCACATGTATTTGTTCTGAAAGTCTAAAAACAGAGGCACAAATATATCGTCTAGACTTGTGAGGTCTACAGATTAGGTATTTTGGCAGTTATCTAAGCCCTTGCCTGTTCTGACTCAAAGCCTATCGACGCCTTGCGTAACATGGGATTGGGTTTTTAAGGCGGCATAAAGCTTTATGTTCTTCCTTTTTGAGTACACTAGATTAAAAACTAACGTTTTCAGATGCCTAAAGATGTTTAACCACTAATTTATCAGAATAATGGGTCAAGATTTCAATTCTTGGTTTTGGGACACGTTAGTTGCCGGGGTTGAGCTAATGTCGAGAGCATAAGGACTGTACCTTGATGCGGGCGTTTTATTTGTTGCCCATCGTAATAATTGGATGGTTGATGGGGCTTCTTCAAGGGTTTGATTTGCCGTAATGTTAATAATATCATGCATGTGAGGCTTTTGTAAGAAGAAAATGCGTTAAAACACTTTTTAGTTATGCTTTTTTAAAAATAGGCCTATATTTTACGACAATATAGGCCCTAATTGTAATGAGCAATAAAATGAATTTAAACAACTTTAGAATACACCTGTTTCGGCTAACATGAATGTTATTCTTCAAACTAGTAATGTTAAACGTGTCTTTTTCGCATTTTCGACTTATAAGCAATACAGTAAATTCCGATATCGTCCATATGCATACAAGCAATGGCGTAGGCGAGGAGGGGTTTAATAGTAATTTAATAATGATACTTTCTTAACCCTGTAATGGACATCATGTTTGGTACCTTGCCCCCGGCAACTGGGTGGATTTGGATTACACACAAGTTTTACTTCATAGTAAATGGCTTCAGTTTTAATTATTGGAGTTGGTAGCAACATTGACACAGTTGAAGGTATTCAGAACAAGGTGGCCAGGAGAAATCACATTAATTAGTATAAAATTTACCATTACTAACAATAGTCCCTACTTAATTGTTTAATGTTGCTGGATATTAAGCTTGGTAGGTATTTATGTTTATTAATTTGAACAGAAACAAAAAAAAAGGGATTCCCAAACAAAGTTTTATTTTTCAGAAATAAAGAAAATGATACAAAACAATAAAGAACAGTT